TGGAATTAGAAATACCATTTGACCCAGCCATTCTATTACTAGGTATATACTCTAAAGAAGTGAGAGCCATGACAAAACAATGATGAGATATCATCTCACCCCAGCAATAATAGCAAAGTTCAACAGGTCAGAAAATAACAAATACTGGAAAGGTTGCGGAGAGACTGGAACTCTTGTGCACTGCTGGTGGGATTGTAAAATGGTACAACCATCGTGGCATATGGTATGGCGTTTCCTTAAAAAACTGAAAATAGAAATACCATTTGATCCAGCCATTCCATTACTAGGTATATATCCTGAAGAGGTGAGAGGCAGCACACAAACAGAGATATGCACACCTATGTTCATCTCAGCACAACTTACATAGCAAAGAGATGGAAACAACCTAAATGCCCATCAATGGATGCATGGATAACCAAATTACGGTACAGTCACACAATGGAATACTATGCTACATTAAAGAACAATGAGGATACACAGATCCTCTCACAGCGTGAGAGCAGAGATGGTGCTTGGTTACCAATGCCAACCACTCGGGAAAGGATCAAATTTGGAAATCCTGGATAGAGTGGGAGGAAAAGCATGGAACAAAATCCAAAAACTCAATAACAACCAGAATTACTGGTCGGACAGAGTCTGGTGAGACCCCCAATACTATGGTCCTGAGATACATTCTGGCCCTGGAATAAAGCTCACTCCCAGGTGCTGGCTCTCAGCCCAATAGTAAACAAGATTTACATGCAGACCACTCAACCCAGGGTGACGCACCCACATATTGTATGGAAATGCATCCCTTGGAGCGATTGACCACGGGCCACCAGAAGGGCAACATTCACATGGAGGAAATGCAGTACACACAGGAGTGCATAACTATGAGGAACACAGGGAGGGGCAGGAGGGAGTAATTGGGCAGGGAGGGAAGGAGACTGGGTTAAGGTTGGGGATGGTAAATGGGGAATGTAACTAAATGTACATGTAATGTTGAATGTAAAACAAACTCTGCTCTGTAAATTGAACCTAAAGCCCAATAAAAAAAAGAAAAAAAAATTTTTGGGCTGCAAAAAAAAAAGGGGGGGGAGGGGGTCTGTGCTCTTTGGACAGCCAAAAGTCAATAGCTCAGTTTGTCTTCTTCTTTGCTGTTTCTCTTTTTAGTCGTCAGCCACCCATGCAGTCATCCACGCAGCCCTCGGCAAGTAGGGCCAAGTTTTAGGTTAATTCTCAGGTCCTAATACCACTCGAACATATTCAAACTGTCCATGCCAGTTTGAATATTTTGCTGACAGTCTGCAGCTCTGTTTGCCTTGTTATTCACTGTTTTCATTCAGGTTCTTCTATTAGTTGGTATTTAATCCACTTTTCCATCCTTCCTTTCAAAGCTCAGGTCTCTAGGATCACCTGTATCTATGTCAATTGGTTTCTCTTTTCTTTATTGAAGAGGTTCTATGTATCTTTTCTGCCTATTCTACCACCTTCCAAGGCTTTGTCTTTTCAATAGTCTCATATGCATACAAAAGCTGGACAATGAATAAGGAAGACCACAGAAGAACTGCTGCATTTGAATTATGGTGTTGACAAAGAGTACTGAACATCCCATGAACTTCCAGAAGAACGAGCAATCTGTCTTGGACAAAGCATAGCCAGAATGCTCCTTAGAAGTAAGAATGGCCAGACTTTGTCTCTTGTACTTTGGTCATGTTTTAAAGCCTCCCTAGAGAAGGACATCATGCTTGGTAAAGAAGTACAGGGTGAGTGGAAGAGGTAAAGACCCTCAATGAGATGGACTGACTCAGTGGCTGCAACAATGGGTTCAATCACACCAATGATTGTAAGGATGGTAGGAGACTGAGCAGTGTTTTGTTTTGTTGTACACAGGTTTGCTGAGTCAAAACTGACTTGATGGCATTTAACAACAACAATAACATTCATATGATCTAAAAAATATTACATTTAAGCAATTTATTGCATGGTTAAAATTGATAATAAATACTAATACGCATTTTTTGTGATAGTAATTAGTATTAATAAGGTCTGGTACAGGAGGATGTCCATGGGTTTGGGACACATTAGGTGACACCAAACCTAGTGATGCCACAGATTAATGATATTGTTCAGTAATTTCTGCATTCCATTGGGTCACCTTTCTTTAGAATGGGCAGGAATATGGATCTCTTCTCATCAGTTGGCCAGGGAGATGTCTTCCAAATTTCTTGGCATAGGCAAGTGACTGCTTCCAGCATTGCATCCATTTGTTGAAACACCTCAATTGGTATTCTGTCAATATCTGGAGCCTTGTTTTTCACCAATGCCTTCACTACAGCTTGTACTTCTTCCTTTAGTACCATTAGTTCTTGATGGGAGTCAACCACTAATCTACTTTCTATCTCTGTAGACTTAACTATTCTAGATATTTCATATAAATGGAATCATAAAATATGCAGTCTTTTGTGACTGGCTTCTTTCACTTAGCATAGTGTTTTCAAGGTCCTTGCATGTCATGACATGTATTAATACTTGGTTCATTTTTACTGCTAAATAAAATCCCAATGTATGAATACATTTTTATTTATCTACTTATCAGTTGATGAACATTTGGGTTGTTTCTACTTTTTGCCTTCTGTTATGAATTGAATTATGTCACTCCAAATTATGTGTTATAAATCCTTACCTCTACACCAGTGGTTATAATCCCATTTGGAATGGGTTGTCTTTGTTATGTTAATTAAGCAGGGTTAGTGTAGGGTATGTTTTGAGCTAATCTCTTCTGAGCTATAAAAGAGATTAAACAAGCAAGTGAGCAAGCAAAAATAGGGAAAGATAGATGCCAAGCCACAGGAAGATCTCCAAGGAACTAGGAGAAAGAAGCTGAAGAGGAAAGGATCTTCTTTCAGAGCCAAAAGAAAAAGACCTACCCTAGAACCAACCCACCCACTGCCATCGAATCGGATCTGACTCATAACAACCTCTCCTTGGGTTTCCGAGGTGGCATCACTACAGAAGTAGATTACCCAACCTTCTTTTCAAGGAGTGGCTGGTGGGTTTGAACCACCAGCCTTCTGGTTAGCAGTCAAAATGCCTTAGGCCCTACACCACCAGAGCTCCCCTAGAACTAGTTCCCTGAATTCAGACTTCTAGGTTCCTAAACTGTGAGAAAATAAATTTCTGTTTGTTAAAGCCATCCACTTGTGGTATTTCTGTTATAAAAGCGCCATATAACTAAGACAGGTATCATGTATAATATTGCTGTGAACATTTAAGTACAAGTTTTTGTGTGGATGCATGTTTTTATTTCTCCTGGGTGTATAAATCTAGGAGGGAAATTGCTACATCATATGCTAACTCCATGCTTAACATTTTGTATAACTGCCAGACTGTTTCCCAAAATGGATTCACCATTTTACATTCCCACCCATAGTACATGGATGAGGGTTTCAATTTCTGCATATCTTTGCTAATACTTGTTATTATTTTTATTCTGTCTACTGGCTATAAAGTGGTATCTCATTATGGTTTTGATTTTTATTTTCCTGATGACTAATGAAGCTGAGATTTTTTTTCTCAACTTTTTTGGCTTTTTGGCCATTTGTGTATCTTTTATTATTATTATTATTATTGTGACTTGGGTGAAGATTTACAGAGCAAATTCACTTTCCAAACAGCAGTGCACATATACTTTGTCTCATGACATTGACCACAGTTTACCACAATGCAACAGCTCCCCTCTCACTTCCTCCCCATAGTTACCTTTTCCCTGTGTCCATCCCTCCATGGACTCCTGCCCCCTGAGCTGTCTCCCTGTGCATAAGCAGCCCTTCTTTCTCCCATGATTGTTCTCTCCAAGGAGAGCATCTTCTTGAGGAAAATGTTCAA